TTTCAAACATAAATTAGATAAAAATTTAACAATTTTATTTATTTTTTTTTTACTTTTCAAACATAAATTAGATAAAAATTTAACAATTTTCAACACAAAATTTTGTTCTTTCCATTATCTCCAAAATTAATTTTTCACAGTAATTCTTTTCTCCTCATTCCTCGACACATTTCAATTTCAGATGAAATTTCTTCCCATAATCTTGAGTAATATTGCCTCCCCTTTATCAATTTCGATGATTGAACCATGAAATCAAAAATCAACAAATAGAAAATCCTAGATCCAATACTCAAGCCAAGAATGGTGAAGCAAAAAAGAACAAAAGAAAAGACGTGAGGAAACACAACAACATAGCAACAAGCGAGACTAGGTTTGCGAGGAACTCGGCGCTAGGGTTCACCTTGACACTTAGGTTCGTAACGAACCTAACGAACCCAAGCACCTAGGTTCACCTTTCCATATTTGATTTCTAGAAGGCAAGGTAAAAAAAAAAAGAAAAGATGAAGGTCGAAGGAAGGAGAGGGTAAGACAAAAGGCTGAAGAAAATGGGGGCAAATTAGTGAAGATTTGAGCTTTAATGGAGACGAAAATTGGTGTAAAGATTTGAGGGCTTTGATGAAGGAAGGGTTGGCGAAGACGAAATCAATGGATGAGAGGGGATTAGGTTTAGGCAAAGGTAGAGAAGATCAGGGATTTGGGCTTAGGAAGAAGATGAGGACAAAAATGGGGAATGAAAAGACAAAGGGAAAATGATGATTTTTTCTTTTAATTATTTTATAACCTATTGATTACATGAAAAATAAATTTTATTACCAACTCATTAATTTTACAATGTGTAATCACACGTCACCATTAAAAAGAAAAAAAAATTAATGGATTATTATGTCATACTATCATTTAATTGACAGGATTAAAAAAGAGTCGAATTTCAAACTTTAAAAATTAAAAAAAGAATTTTCAATAGTAGAGGGACAAAAAATGGTGTTTAACCTTTTTAAATAAACAAAACACATCCGGCTTCATCCTTCCTTCCAAACAAACCCAGCAAATCTAGCCGTTAGTTTTCCCCTGATTACTCTATAAAGAACTCCCGTCCCCACACCCTTACTTTCTCCAACACCCTAATTTTCCATTCGTTTCTATTTTATTTTCTGCCTCCTAAACCGCATTTTGCTTCTCCATTTTCTGCTATTCTCGGATTCAAAATGCGTGAGATCCTTCACATCCAGGGAGGCCAGTGCGGCAACCAGATCGGTGCCAAGTTCTGGGAGGTGGTCTGTGCCGAGCACGGGATCGACTCCACGGGAACATACCATGGGGACTCCGATCTGCAGCTTGAAAGGATCAATGTATACTACAATGAGGCAAGCTGCGGCAGGTTTGTTCCCAGGGCTGTTCTTATGGATCTTGAGCCTGGAACCATGGATAGTGTCAGGTCTGGTCCTTTTGGTCAGATCTTTAGGCCGGATAACTTTGTTTTTGGTCAATCCGGTGCCGGAAACAACTGGGCTAAGGGGCACTACACAGAGGGTGCTGAGCTGATTGACTCTGTGCTTGATGTTGTTCGCAAGGAAGCAGAAAATTGCGATTGCTTGCAAGGTTTGACCTTGATTTTTATCTCTATTTTAATTATGTTTGTTTTCTGGGAAAATAATTTAGGGTTTATGTGGGTTTTTTCTTGATTTCAGGGTTTCAGGTGTGCCATTCGCTCGGTGGGGGAACCGGGTCTGGTATGGGAACCCTTCTGATTTCCAAGATCAGGGAGGAATACCCAGATCGGATGATGCTCACGTTTTCCGTTTTCCCCTCTCCCAAGGTCTCCGATACTGTGGTGGAGCCGTACAATGCTACTTTATCTGTTCATCAGCTTGTTGAAAATGCAGATGAATGTATGGTTCTTGACAACGAAGCTCTCTATGATATCTGCTTCCGCACCCTCAAGCTCACCACTCCAAGCTGTAAGCTTTTTCCCTAGGTTTTAATTTCTGCGCTTCCCCTAATCTTCAATTGAAAATAGATTTGTAATTTTCTGTACTTCTATGGCTGCAGTTGGGGATTTGAACCATTTGATTTCTGCTACAATGTCTGGCGTCACATGCTGTTTGAGATTCCCGGGTCAGCTAAACTCTGACCTTCGCAAGCTCGCTGTGAATCTGATTCCATTCCCCAGGCTTCATTTCTTCATGGTTGGTTTTGCCCCTCTCACCTCCCGTGGATCCCAGCAGTACAGAGCCCTGACCGTCCCTGAACTCACCCAGCAAATGTGGGACGCCAAGAACATGATGTGCGCTGCAGATCCACGTCACGGCCGCTACCTCACAGCCTCAGCCATGTTCAGGGGCAAAATGAGCACCAAGGAAGTGGATGAGCAGATGCTTAATGTGCAGAACAAGAACTCTTCATACTTTGTAGAGTGGATCCCCAACAATGTCAAATCAACAGTCTGTGACATCCCTCCTATTGGTCTGAAAATGGCATCGACCTTCATTGGTAACTCGACTTCAATCCAGGAAATGTTTAGGCGAGTGAGCGAGCAGTTCACAGCCATGTTCAGGAGGAAAGCTTTCTTGCACTGGTACACAGGGGAAGGCATGGATGAGATGGAGTTCACTGAGGCAGAAAGCAACATGAATGACCTGGTCTCGGAATATCAGCAGTACCAAGATGCCACTGCAGATGAGGAGGTGGATTATGAGGAGGAAGAGGAGTATCAACATGATGAGTGATTTTCTTGTATGATTCAAATATTAATGTAAACCAATGATGCAATTTCCAGTTGTCAGTCTCTGGCAAGAGAAGGGAATTATCCTGGTAGCCGTTGGTCAATATTTTAATGTTAGTTATATGAAAGATGTTTTCTTTTCTGTTCTTCCAAGTTCCAATCTCCCTACTTCAAATTTGAAGATCAAACTAATTGCCTGAAATTCCTGACGTTATGCATTCTTTGCACCAAACAACACTCTTTCACAGATCTCAGAACAAATAAAATGCCAATCTTGAGTTGAATTGAGCAAAAGTGCCTTTGTAAACACGAGATTTTGTTCTGATAATGGTGTTAAAATGAAAATCTAGCAAATTATTATAGGCAAAAACATCCTAGCAAATTTTGTTCGTCTATACATCCTAGCAAATTATGGATTCTCCGTCCCTTTGTTGGTCAAGATTCAGACATTCAGTGCACTGGTTGATTTGAGTAAAGCAACAAGCATCTGAAGACTGAAAACAATGTTCAAAGAATTGGCAATATTTGAGCTAGAATGTCTAGCTTGTGAACTTGGCTTGGTTGCCAAGGAAAGTTGTGAGAAAGTATATATATATAGATATATAGATATATATTTTCCCTCAAAAATCATGAAATCTCGATGTAGACAACATGCTTTTTGACTGAATAAGAAAAAGGATGACAACTGGGTCTATCTTCCTTGTTTGCAGGCTCAAAGCACAGGCCGACGACGGAGCTTAGACCTGAGGAGAGCTATAAGATAAAAGTATAAATCCTAGGCAATGGAAATATGGAATGAAGCTGGTCAGTATATATATATATATAATTTTTTAGTACATAAAGATTAAAGATTGAATCCTAGGCATGTAACTAAAAATACAAGTAAATAGTATTTCAATCAATCGCACCCTGATTAGAATGAAAGAATACACTGCGGTTCTGAAAATAGACTTCACAAAACAAAACAAAACAATGATTTGAGCATCTAAGAAATAAAGAAGGATACTTATATCTCAGTGTTCCCATCGTCAAGCGATATTCAACAGAAAGCTACATTTTTTTTCACAATTGATCATCAGTTACAACCACAGGATACACTGCGGTTCTGGAAATGGATTTCACAAAACAAAACAAAACAAAACAAAACAATGATTTGAGCTTCTAAGAAATAAAGAAGGTTACTCATATCTCAGTGTTCCCATCGTCAAGCGATATACAACAGAAAGCTACATTTTTTTTTCACAATTGATCATCAGTTACAACCACAGAAGAAAAACTGGTACAAAAACATGAATTTACAACATCAAAACATCCAACTTGATCAAACCCCTAGCTAAGATCTAGTTCGTGTCATCTTGGACAGCTCTATCCACTACTACTTTGAAATTCTTGTACTCAAAATCCACAGGGTGCTCAGCACACTCTTCTGGTACCACCAGACGCCTATTCCCAAAGATTGTCCACAAATACAGCACACAAGATGCAGCCAGTGCTCCACAAACAGTGCCAAAAATCAGAGCACCAAGAACTCTCAAAAGACAACCACTTTTCTTGTGATCAATGAGGGGTTTCGAGTTCTTGGTGAAGGCCTTGGGATCCAATGGGTCAGAATGCATCCAATAAGGAACATGCCTAAGCTTGAAACTCCACGAATATATGAAGCATGTCTGTGAAGAGTTCCCATTTGAAGAGCTTAACCCAACAAAGACTTCCTCATCATCCCACATTTTGGACAAGTCAAGCGAGTATGAAAGCAACGGATCAACAGGCTTAGTATCCCCAGAATGACTCAACCTAATTTCTAGCCTTTTTGAGGTTGCTTCATAATCAATCCAAGAATGCAACCTTTCTCCATTGTTCAATACCATATTGATAGATGACAAGCTTCTCACTTTAACTGATACAAGACTAGCAATATCAATACCCACATGATTTTCACTCAAATCACCATACTTCGAATCTCTCAAGGTATCAAATTCAACAGCAACGACACTAATATTACTTTTCTCCTTTCCTAGAGAAAGTCCAAAAGAGCTGTTATCAAATACCTTAGGATTGCTACTCCTAGGAAACATAACAAAGGCCAACCCCTCCCCATTTTCATGTGACATTGAGAAAGAAAAGTAAGTCGAAATAGAAGCAAATTTCCTAGGAGTACCTTCAACAAACTTGATGGGTTTCTTGTACATGACTCGTCCAGTGCTTGAACTCACCGAGTCAGTGAGTTGAACCCGAGACTCCCCAGGAACAACCTTTGCATCCCCATGTAAAGCAATATTGGACTCAAATCTCGGATCTTTACCAAAACTTTTGAAGGAAAAGGAGGCATCTTGATCCGCAGCTAACCTTCGGAGCTGAAAAACAAGAATAACTAGAACGGTGAAGGATTTGGGGAAGGAAAATGCAGCCATTGAAGACATGGGTAGGAGCTGAAATCTGGGTTTTGGTTTTCTGGTCTAGTGAGATTTCAGGGTTTCCCCGAGGAATTCCATTTACAAGGAGGAGACCTCTTTTCCCCAATATTTTAGGGTTCTTGGGTAGAAACCAGAGGAAGAAAGTAAAGTACCGGATGGGTAGGCCGGCTTGGGAGGTTGTGAAAATTAAATACGTTTACTGGTTTCTGCAACTTCTCTCCTTTGTTTCACTTTCCCTCAGTGGTTGCTGACGAAGGGAATATTATAACGGACAATTTTGCAGATGTGCCCTTGTTCTTCTCGTATTAACTTTTTTACCCAAATTTAATAAAAGTATTATTTTTTTGAAAACAGGCAAAGGCAATGTAATAAAAGTACTAAAAGAGGAAGAAATACTGACCCTTTAAGTTTGTCCCCTAAAAATTTCACCAAAAAAAAAGTTTGTCCCCTAAACTTACTTTATGTTCTCAATCCAGCCTTCAAACTGGTTTTTTGGTCAATTAAACCCTTGTACAATGAGGTTGTTTGGTGGATCTTTTTGGGAGGGTTGCTTAAATGCAAAATTTTATCTCTCATGTTGAAAACTCGTTAAAGAGAATGAGAGATTTTAAGTACTTAAAGAGCTTATAAGCAAAATTTTCACAAAATTATAGAATGAAACTCTTTTAAAATTTTCTTTTAAATACTTTATAAATTAAAACTAGCTTCTCTCTCTAAAAAAATTTCAAACTATATGATCTTGCTCAATAGTCATTTTACCACCATAATGCTAATATGGTAACCTTGGGCTCTAGTGAATACATGGATTATTTTGTCTCAAACTTTCACATGGGTTACAAAAATTAATTGGATAAAACTTTCACACATATAGTAGAAGATATTATGATTATGTAATTTTTTTGATTAACTAATTTTACCTATAACTAACAATGTTGCTTTCAAGGGCTTAATGAGTCTAGAAAAGAAGTATAAGAGCTCAGTTGAAAAAAAGAAGAAGTAAGTTTAAACTTAAGTTTTATTCTTAAGAAAAGGTACGGTTATAGAAACATGCAAAACAAAGGGACGTCTTTGCAAAATTTTAAAGTAAGAGTTTACTTACAGTTGTCGAGGCAGAATTGTTTTCAAGCAACGGCAAACAGGAGACTAAAAAGGAAAATCCACTTAAAAAAGAATAGTACTTATAATGTGTTAGAGAAATAATTTTTTTATTTTTTATTTTATACATTTTTATATATCATTAAATAAGTGAATGTATTTAATATAATGATCTTATATGAATTAAAAAATTAATTATTTTAACGAGACATTAAATTATATAAAAATATAAGATAAAAAACTGATAAAAAAAAACATTTCCCTATTTATAATAATTGTACTCTCAAGTGTTGACCCGCTCTTGACATTTGGCGGTAGCAAAGTACAGCTGTTTTCTACACAGGGCGAGTATAGAGTCATTACCAATATATACTAATTACTTATGTATTTTATTTATTAATTCCATTATTCAAAATTACATTAAATTTGATTAATTTGTAATTAAATTAGATTAAACTTCATATAGTAACTCTTTTAGTGCTTGTATTTTCGTTTACAAATTATTGATCATTGCTTATGCATTTTATAAATCTGAATATAGTGTTCTATGACTCAAACGGTAAACTTATTAGTCATTAGATTAAATAACTAGCTTTATTATTGTTCTTTTCACTATCTCATAGTTAATA